CCGAGCCGTCCCCGCCTTCAGAGCCGCGTCTGCCCAACTTGGACGCTGTCTTTTTGTTTCTAATTGTTTTTGTTTGTTTTTTGTTTTTTGTTTTTTTTAGACATACCCAGGATGGAACGAGAAACTCAAAACACCCCCCCCTCCCCCCATGGTTTCCTACTGCAGCTTCTCCGAGAGGAGATCCGCGACCGGTGGAAAACAGAGAGCTGGAAATCACGGTGTTCACAAGTACATGAATCACGTGGTTGCTGGCCCCGCTCAGCAGCTTCTGCAACACACAAATGGTGTCCTTGGCCTCCTCCCTCCACGCCTCTGCCAGTCTCTTGGCCGGTGAGTGCTCGCTGCCAGCGCAGACCGGCTGCCTCCCTGCCGCAGCAGCCGGTTGGAAAGGAGATGCGCCCCGGCCCGCTGCCCGGCGGAGCTGCCGTCAGTCCGGAAGCGAGGGACGCGTTGTGAAGAAAGTGCAATTATTTTTCTTATTGTTTTGTTTTCTGCCGATAGCTGCTTCCTCCTCCTCTGACCAGGGATTCATCAGCAAGCGGTAAGGGTGAATGTGAGCTCGACCGCCCGACCTCGGAGGGCTCCCGTCCTTGCCAGTTTTCAGTGATGTCTCCTGGTTTTGAACTGTCATGCCGGCAAGAGCACAAAGTCATCGTTCACGTCGACCATTGGCACATAGAACGAGGGCACCTCGTTCACGCAGAGGGATTTGTGCCCCGCGGGGTCCAGCTCCTGCACCTTCAGCTGCCACTCCATCCTTTGCACCGCGTTCAAGGCGGCAGCTTCGTGTTGCTGTCGCATGAGCAGGCACGTCTGGATCAGGGGGAAAAAAAAAACCAAGCAGAGATGAGGGGTGAGCGAGAGAGGGCAGGAAAGGCTCCTGCTGCCCGTCCCACCCGGCAAAGGCAGGGGACCTGCAGCCATCGCGGCGGGCAGAGCAGCAAACGGAGCAAGGGACGCCACACACAGCCTCGAGGGAATGAAACCTGGACTTGGGACGTCTGCTGAGCCCAGTTCCAGCAGGGGCAAGCCCAGAAGGGCCTTGTGGGGCGGCTTTTAAAGGCTCGTAAGCACTCAGAGCACTGACCCCGCTGGTGACAGCCCCGGCAGACAGTCCCCATCAGTGGCCCTCGGCTGCCCGAGAGCAGGGTCCCGCTCCCTTCGTGGGAGCTGCCAACTCCCTCTGTGTCACCAGTTGAAAGCACAGTCGTCCCTGCTCCCTACCGTGCCCGGGTTTGCCACCCAGCGCTCTGCACGGCACTCCGGAAAATCATCGCGTGGGCTTCTGCCGCCTTATAGTTTGCCATAGGTTTTGAGCTTGCTGCAGCATGTGTTGCTGGCGAAGAGCGGGGCCCGAGGGTTTAACTGACCGAAAAAACTCCAGACCATATGGCGCAAAGCAGAGTAACAGCCAGCCAGACAACCCTAAGCGGAACGTGTCTCCCTTCCCCCTTTTTGGAACCAGCAGAGGCAACTGTGCTCCCCTAGTCCCCGCAGAGGCTCCCACCTCTCAGCCGCGCCGTGCGCAGAAGCGTCCCCCATCACCTAACGCTGCCCGGACCACCTCGGGACACCTGCTCCCAGCAGATTTTTGGAAACCACAAAGGCAGCTTCCAGGCTACAGCAACAGCCGGGACCCCTCTCAGGGAAACCCTCCCTGGGGGAGGCAGAGCAGCAGGACCTGCTGCTGCCCAGGCACCGCCGCGGCGGCAGCCCGGAGCACCGGGGCTCCTGCACCTCTCACCTTCATTCGATCGTACTTGTCATCCACGTCTTGCAACCAGGAAATGAACTGTCGCGCGTTGAAACGGTCTCTGACCGATTTATTTTCGTCTCCCTAAGCGAAAGACAGCAAAAGGGAATTACATGGTAGATTTTTTTTTTTTTCCCCTTCACTTTCAGCAGTCCCAGGTCTAACAGGCCACGTTCAAACCCCTCTTAGGGCACACACTCATCACAGAATCATTGAGGTTGGAAAAGACCTCTAAGATCATCGAGTCCAACCGTCGACCCAACACCCCCATGCCCACTAAACCATGTCCCTCAGCGCCTCATCTACACGTCTTTTAAATACTTCCAGGGATGGGGACTCAACCCCTTCCCCGGGCAGCCTGTTCCAATGTTTCACCACTCTTTCAGTAAAGAAATTCTGATTAAAGAAATCAGAAACAAGAGAGGTGCCTGCAGGGAGGGGGAACAGAGCACGCTGCTCCCAGCTGCTCTTGCAGACCCTTGCCAGGGGCTTCAGCCTCAGAGAGAGATGCACGCACGCATGCGTGCACGCACCCCCCATTTTTGCTTGCTTTGCAGAGAATCTGCCTGTGCCAGCCTGTCACAGCACCCGCACCTCTCTGCCTCCTTCAACTCATGCCCAAGACCGTAACGTCTTCGCTGTAGAAGCACAGATCCCTGCACAGGATCCCTCCTGCAATGCACCAGCGTGCTTCTCTGAGCAGCCGGGCTGGCGGCAGCTGCAGCGGGGGGGGTGCAGAGGGGGCGGGCGGGGGGGGGGGGGGCGTGGCGCAGGACCACCGCAGCCGCACGGCCACCGGCTGCAGAAACCGGACACGATTCCCCCTTCTCCGGCACAGAACGACATGAAATCGAAAGAAGAAATGACCACTTTTTGTGGGCTGCGAGATGGAGTCTGGCTCTTTCAAAGCCACTATTCAGACACAAATCAATTTAATGGCTCTCCCCCCTTCCTTCAACAGGAAAAGACATCCCAGAGTGTAGTAAAATAAACCTTTCAAGTGTGCGGATGATCCTGACCAAGAAGAAAGGCAGAGGGTCCTGAGACTCATTGATAAACCTGAGTCATCTCTGCTCCTAAAGAGACATGATGCTCCCTGCATCCCCGTGTTCCCGGCTGTATTTCCTTCCCCAGCATGCACGTGGAGTATCCCAGAACATGCGACACCAGAAACTGAGTCAGATTAGGCAACCTGGGCACGTGCTGGGGAGGGCTCCTGCAGGGTGTCCTGCATCCATGTGCCGCGGTGGGCGACAGGCACCTGAGCAGGGAGAGCATTAGTAACTCCTGCCTACATCCCTCTCCTCCCTCCCTCCGTCCAGAAAAGCACCGTCTCCCTCGGGGTCTTGCACAGCACCTCTGAGACACTTCTTCACCACCAAGACAGGCACTGACCTGATTTTCTAGAGGCATGTTATAGACCTCGGAGTCCAGCAGCATGGTGCAGGCACTGAAGGGCACAGCCTGGTTGGCAATAGTCCTTGCTGCCCGACAATGAACTCTCAAAATCTCCTGCTCACAGGAGACGATGAGCTTCTCCTGAGGAAGAGCAAACGAAGCAGTGAGCGTGGCAGCCTCAGTTTCCCCAGCAGAGGAAATCCGGGACCTCTTCCCCAGCCGGAGTCTCCCCGGTGCGCTCCCTTACCCGCTCTATGCTGTGCTGGAGCCGCAGCTTCCCCCGGACGGCTTCCTGCTGCTTGAAGAGCTCCTTCAGAGGCTCCGCGAGCGACGGCGGCGGGGCGATCTGCGGGCACACGGCAGCGGAGGGTTAGAGCCTGCGGCACGGCCACGTAGGTGAAATGCACCTTGGCCAAGGGCTCGGAGAGGGAGTCGGTGCCACCCCGCGGGGTGCTGTACGGAGCTCACCAGAGGAGAAAGTCTGCCTATTTCCTCAGCAGGCAGGCGGCAAAGGACAACGTCCCGCCAGTGCTCAGACCACAGCAAGGAGTGAGACACCAGGGCAAGAGGTGTCCAGTGCTGAGAGACGAGCTCAGCCTGCAGAACCAGAGCCTAAATCACCCCACGTGCTGCAAGGGCAGTTTGCAAAGGGGCCTGAGCGCATCTGACAAAGGGGATGATACTGTTGGAGAAATACTGCCGTGAGCAGCCCAGTCTGCGCACCGGGAAGGGTGCCTGTGTCCTGATCTGTCCTGCGCCTTCCTGGGGAGCAAGGCGCTCCTCAAGCACAGCCCGAATTGCAGAGCAGAGGAGCAGGTGGCTCTGCGTTAGTCTAGGAAGGAACAAGCAGATGCGAACACAGGCTACGACCACCGCGGTGCTGGGGCAGACAAAGCGCGCACTAAGTCATGCAAACAGTAACTCATGCACGGACTACACTGCAACAGAAATACCCGCAGACGGGGGCGTTTCGCCCTGCCTGCAGCAGGGAATGAAGCTTGACGTGGTCGGTCGTATCGACCCCCCTCCTCCAGGCTGGATCCTGGATTTACTGCCTGCAGCATTAAGTTTATTGATGCATTTGTATTAGCAAGTCCATTCATGCAGCACAGCAGTGAAATGCAGATCCCATTGCCAAGGAGCGAGTGCTATCGGCAAGTCAAGTATCAGAGCTTGGGAAAATGAAGGCAGGAGTTAAGAGCCATCTTTCTCCTCCAGTCTTCTAGGTTCATTATCCAATTACTATACTGCTTGTAAAAGCAGTTTTGCCTCCCAGCCTCAAATCCAGTGGATTCATACAAACTTGCTCTAAAGCCTGAGCAAATCTCAGGGTCCTAAGCACAGCCCAAGGTCGTCTCTGCAAACATACAGCATCTCAGAGGATGCATTTGTCATGCAGCCATCCACTTACCGAGGCTTAGATTTGTCGTCATGAGCATGTGCTAAAAGTAGGCTAAAGCAACGGCCGGGGTGCCATCGGCACTGCAAGGGCGCTCGCGGTGCGTAGGGGACAATCTGGCTGTGCTTGTAGCAGCAAGGGAGGGGACAGTCCCTGATGCCGCGGTTTAAAGAGAGAAGGTGACTCACCACTGGAATATGGAGCTTGCTTAGAGGCTTGCCATCCAACAGGTAGGAGCCTGTGTAGGTGACATATTCAGCGTAGCACTGCGGAGCTTGGGGAGTAATATAGCAGAGGATTTTCCGCTTCTCTTCAATCTTTTTCCTGATCTGGAGGTACTCAAAGTAGGGGTTGGACCTGTCACTGTGATAAGGTTCAATGTCGTCCAGTTTTATAGCATCGACGATAGCTGCCAATGTTTGCTGTATCATCTCCCTCGTCTGCTGGGTGGACGTGTTGATCTGCTGCTGCAGCTGCTGGTTGGAGCGCTGGAACCGGCGCTTGCGCGGGTGCTGGGCCTGGGAATCGTCCTCCTCCGTAATGCGGCCTTTGGCACGTGTGGCGGGCGCAGAAACAGGAGGAAATTCCTTCTCAGAGGAGGCGGCGTTCTGCTTGTTTTGGTTGGCGAGCATCTGAGCCCGGTTCCTGGTAATCCGCTGAGGAATCTCCTCTATTTTGGGTGGTTTGGGAGCTTCTGCTACTGGTTTTTGTACTGGTTCAACGATTTCTGCTTGAGCGTTGCCCGGAGGTGCATCTGCCTGGGAGGAAGGGACTTGGCTCCCACCACGTGCCGCAGCACCCTCCTGTGAAACGCTGCCCTCGGCGGTGGCCACGGGTGGGGTGCGTGCCGCAGCACCCTCCTGTGAAATGCTGCCCTCGGCGGTGGCCACGGGTGGGGTACAGGTCTGGGAGCTGCTCTCTGCCACCCCACCAGAAGAAGACAGGTCTTCGTGCACAGCCTCCACCTCTTTGCTCTCCGGCTGAGCAGACTCAGATGGGGTCTGCTGGAAAATCTGTGCTTCCGAGTCCTCTGCTCCTTTTTCCTCAGCTACGTTCAGTGCTTCTGAGGTGGCTTCTTGTGCAGCCACTTCTGGTTTCTGCTCCTCTGCTTGTGGCTCCGTCTCCACGGGCAGGACAGCAGCTGCCTGGCCGGCTGGCGGCTCCTCCGGCTCACCGGACGCTATTACGGATGCGCTCGCTTTAATGATCCCAGCGCTTGTTTCTGAAGCTGCTGCTGGGCTTTCTTCTACCGCTTCTGCCTCCGCCATCTCCGTCTCTGCAACATCCTTAGGTTGGAGCGGCAGCTCTGGTAGCGAGAAGGGGCCAAGGTCCAAGTCATCTTCTGTGTTGGTGAAGGGATCAGGCCACGTTACCGCCTCCTCTGTACTGGCAGGCGCAGCGTTATTGTTTTCCAAATAGTTGTTTTCTGGCGCGCTAACAACTTCTGCCTGAGGTTCTGCTGGCATACAAGGGGGCTCTGGAGGTATCTCAGGTGCTTCTTCTGGAAGAGGCTTGCAGTTATTGAAGAACGTGTCTAACCTAGTAGGGGACATGTAGGGAGCTTGCTCTTCGGCATTCGCTATTTCTCCTGGAACTGCTTCCTCAGCATCCTCCTTGACTTCATCGAGTCCCGGTTCAGACACTGACAGAGGGTAAGATATGGGAGAAACGGGGTAGGAAGTATCAGTGGGAATGAAGGCGACCGGTGTAGGATGAATCGGCTCTAGGGAACAGAGCGGAGGTTTAGGGGACTCTGAAAACCTCTGGGGAGATTTCATCAGAAGCTCTGAGCCCATGGACCAGCTGACAGGGTGCTCTGCTGGGTTACCCATCAGGCTGGGAGCAATGGCGGTGTCAGGGTTTCTGGAAGGAGGGTTATCCCAGTCTATATTGTTTTGTTCTGGCATACCCGAACTAAAATGGTTTTCTTCAATTGGTGGTAAGTAGGTAGGTTCTGGTGGCATAATGGAGGCAGTAGCTTGCTGCTCTTCCGTGGTATCCAAGGGCATGCCGAGGTCGGGGGGAAGAGCGCTTTCTACCGAAGGAGCCAGCAATTCATCTCTGTGCGAAGGGGAGGATTTTGCTTGTAAACCAGAAAAGACACTTTCAGGCGACTGGGCGACTCCGCTGACAGCTCCTGGCGCGCAGTGCAAAGCTTCCACTTTCGGCGATGAAACCCCATAATCTGGTGAGTAATACCCAGGAGATAAACACTGGAACTTCTCAGCAGGAACAGAAGGAAGGGGAACTTTCTCCTCCATTAGGTGCTGCACTGGAGAGTCATAATTTGATGTCGCCGGGACACTTTGCTGTCTGAAAAATTTATCTCCGACACTGAATTCTTCTTCAGGTGCCCTTCTGATATCCACCGAGATGGAACGATAAAGGTTCGTGGAGGGTATGGTCCGAGTCGGGGTCTGACTCGGATTCTCGGGGAGCCCACTGGAAACATTCGCGTATCTGTCGAAGAAGGATGGAGAACAGGCGTTCATGGACATCGTGGATATGGGCAGCGAGTGCTGCGAGTCCGCGCATTCAAACATCAGGTCCGTGTAGTCTTCGTTGCTGCACGAAGGGGTCCTGGGCGTCTGCATCACCTCCTCGTAGCTCGGACAAGAGACGACGGATGCCGGGGTCGGGACTCCCGTCGGCCGGTTCTGATCTGGCCTGGGAGACGCCGGGAGGATCTCCTTCAGCTGAGGACCCGTTATCCAGTCCTTAGAGTCTGTCCCAACAGCAGGCTGCGCCTTGTTTTCCGGTGACAGTATAGGAGTCAGTGGACCCAGTTCTTTAAGTTTCTTGTCCTTGAGCTGAGTATCCAGCGCTAACGGCTTCTTTGTTGCCAGATCCAGACTCCTCTTGCGCACGTCTTCCGAGCTTTTAAGTTTGTCCTTTAATTTGGGGTCTCCGGACCTGTGCCTCATTTTCTCCATTTGCTTCATTCTCTCTTTGTGCCTTTTGTGGCGCTCCTCGATTTCCAGGTCTTTCTGGCTCAGCATCCTCTCAAAGCTGGTCATCATCAGATCACCGTCTCCCAGAAGTTTCTCCCTTGGCCTGGTATCTTTCTTGCTGCTGTCTTTGGAAAGGGTTATTTTTTCATTCCCATTGCTTATTTTTATTGACTCTGATTTGTCTTTCTCTTGGTTCTCCTTGAGCTTCTCCTTCAGTTTGGTCTCGCCGAATTTGAGGTTGTCCTCCTTTGATTTATCTTTAAAGGTGGTAACTTGAGGACTGTCCTTGTCTTTAAGTGTTGACTTTGGCTCATCTTTGTGATGTTTAAAGAAACCATCTGCATGTTTGTCTCTATGCTTTTCCTTTTCCTCCTTCCATTTTTCCTTGTGTTTATCTCGCTTCTTTTTCTCTTTAACTGTGCTGATGGCGCTGGAACCGTAAGTCTTTTCTTTTTCCGCCTTCTTTGACAGCTCTCTTTCAGAATCGTTTTTATCTTTCTTTTCAGAAAATAAGTAATCAATGCTTTTCTCTGGTTCCTCATCAGGCTCTGCCTTCATGTTGTAGGAAGTGCTAAAAGCCTCCCCATCCACAGAGAAATCTTTTTCATAATGAGCGGAATCCTTTCTGCTGCTGGAGTCTTTGAATTCTTCTGTTTTTTCCTTTTTCTCTGTCTTCTCCTTCTTTGCTTTTTCTTTCTCGTGACTTTTCTTTGACGAAGATGAGGAATGCCTGTGTCTCTCCTTCTCCTTGAGTTTGTCCTGCAAGCAGGGTAAAGGGAGGGAGTCCTTAAACTTTTCTTCAGCGGCATCAGTAAGAGAGAGGTTAGAAGACTCGAAGAGGCTGGTCAGTCCTGGATCTTGTCCTCTATCTGTGAAGCTGTCAGAAGAGATCTCGCTGATTTTGTCATTGGAGTCATCTCTATAGTCATTCAGAGCCTCCTCCTCCAATTTCTCCAGCAGGCTCTTCTCCGACTCCCCTCCTTTCGAAGATTTTTTCTCTTTGGAATGCTCTTTATCCGGCTTCTCCTTATGCTTGCTCTTCACCTTGTCGTCATTGGCGTGTTTCTTTTCAACCTTCTCTGGGAGCTTTTGCTTGTTTTTCTTCTCTTGAGTGGAATCTATGGACGTTCTGTCTTTCCTGTCCTTATACTTCTCGGTAGAGTCTTTCTCTTTCTTCTCTTTGTGTTTTTCAAAGGAACTCTTCTCCTTCTTCTCTTTTCCCCCTTCCGATGTTCCTTTGTCCTTTTTCTTCTCCTTGGAGTCCTTATCTTTCTGCTTCTCCCCTGAATGTTGCCGGTCGGAGGAGTACTTGCGGTGCTTGTCAGGGTAGAGCTCCTTCTCAGCAGCTGCGCCGTCGTCCTTCTCCTGCAGACTGTCCAGCCGATGCATTTCGCTCCCAGCGGAGTCGCTGACTTTGAACCCAGTCAAGCTGTAGTCATCCCTCTCGTCTTCGCTTTCATCTGTGAAGATGTCTGCAATGCTGTACCAGCTTTTCTCCTTGCCTTTCTTCTCATCCTTTTTCTCGGAGAAGTCCTCTCGATCCGCAGAGAAGTTTTTCTCTTTCTTCTCTTTAACCTGGTCGAAAGAACTCTTCCTTTCTTTGTCTTTGCTGTGCAGGTCTTTGTATTTCTCTTTAGTTTCTTTTTTCTCTTTGAAACTCTTGTCTAGTTCTTTGTCCTTCAGGATTTTCTCAGGAGCAGCTTTTTCATTTTTCTCCTTGTCACCTTCTTTGGATTTCTCCTTGTATTTTTCTGGCTTCACCTTTTCTTTTTTTTCTTTATCGGGAGCATCCTTCTTCTCCTTTTCCTTCCCAGAATGGTGCCTCTCCCAACTCTCCAGAGTTTTACCGCTGAATTCGGGGTCAGACTTATCCTTGAAGAACGTTTCGCAGCCGTATTCTTTAAAGTCATCTCGATAGGGCTCCTCCTGCTTCATTTTGGTGTCTTTTCGATCTTTAGAGCCATCAGAGGAATCTTTTCTGTCTTTGTTGGTTTCACCCGTATCTTTTTCTTTCCTCTCCTTGACACTCTCTGCAGAATCCTTCCTTTTCTTATCCTTCTCAGGCAAATAACTAGGAGTAATTTTGTGTCTATCCGTTTGGTCCTTTTTCTTCTCGGAGCTTTTGTCCACATAGTCCCTCTCTTTCTTCTTTAAGAAAGTGTCCTTTTCATTACGTTTCTCGTTGTATTCCTTCTTCTCTTTCGTTTTATTTTCCTTTTTCTTGTCTTTAATTTCCTCTTTCACAGGTTCTATGATTAGTTTTGCCACGGTGTCATTTTTAATCTCCCTGAAATCTGTTACTGGAGAATCCCAACTATCTTCACCTTTGAAATCGAAGGATGAATCAGAAGACAAGTCTGAAAACCACCTCTCCTGCTGATCATCCGAAAGGCTGAACTTCGTGTCCTCGCTTTCGGGAAATTGGTTTTTGTTATTAAACTCATCAAACCCAGACTCATCCCTGTAAAGTTTTTCTTTTTTGCATTTTTCTTTCTCTTCCTTGAAGGATTTTTCCTTCTCTAGTTTAGAAACCTTCTCCTCCTTCAGCTCATTCTTCTTTTCAGATTTTGACTGCTTGTCCTTTGACTTCTTCTTTCTCTCCTCCTTGTGTATTCTTGGCTTCTCTTCTTTGGGAGACTTCTCCTTTACAGGTTTCTCTTTTTCTGATTTACTTAATCCTTCTCTGAAGGATTTGCTCATGTCTTTACTACCATCTTTGACTTTTCTTAATGATTTCTCCTCTTTCGAGGATTTTCCAGTCTCCTCTTTAAACAACCACTCCTTCTCCTCCGCTTTACCTTTGGGGAGCTTTTCCTCCTTCTTACCGTGTTCTCGCTCATGCTTTAACACTTTCAATTTGTTTTCGACTGGATTTTCTGTCTCTACTATCAAGCCTTTCTCAGGCTTTTGTTTAGAGTCCTCAAACTCAAAAGAAAACGTTTTGATTATTTTAATGTCTTGGCTGATGGGACACTGCCCCTTCTCCTTGTTTTTATGTTTGTGTTTCGTTTTATGCTTTTTAACAACCTTCCCCTCCTTGTCCAGCTTTGGAATTGCTCCATCCACATTGCTATGGAATGAATTCTTTTTCTCAGAAACAGTGTTGTGTGGGGTGTTTTTCTTTTTGTGCTCTGGTTTCTTCCTGACTGGCTTTAGCGACTCTAAGCTCGAGTCCTCGGACGAGTAGTCTGACTCGCTCGTCAGTCTCGTCCTGGTGGAGTCCGATAAGGAACTGACATCTGACCAAGCTGGAGAAGATATGGTTTTCCAATTGTCCGTCCTCCAGTGCTTGGAGTGCTGTTCTGTAAGATTAGGATTATGTTTCTGGGATGCTAAACTCCCATGAGAAGAGGTCGATGAGGCAGACAGAGAGTTAAACAAGGAGGATTCCTTTAGCACTAGCCTGGAGTCCTTTACACAGCTAGAGCTCTGAAGAGAGTCTCTATCATCCTCCTCACTCTCCACGTTTTCACTCTCTGATTCAGAGGAACAAAATTTGTCATTTTTTTTGCCAAACCGAACCTCTTTGCTTTTCGTCTCCTTCTTCCGCTTCTTTTTTACTTTGCTTTTCTCCTTCTGCGGCTTTGTGCTGGCGGGCTCCCGAATCTTGCTGCTGGGCAATATCGAGTGGGTCGAAAGTCGCAGCTTCTCCCCTGTCCCCACAGCAACGCTGGTCTCCTCCTCGTCCGAGCTGTCCGACAGGATGCGGTGGGCAGCTTTCTTTGGTGTAATTGTGTTATTTTTAGTATATGTTTTCACTTCCATTTTGGGTATGGAAATGAAACTGTTTGCTTTAGTCTCTTTTCTGTAATCCTTTTTCAGCAAGTGTTTGTCATCAACTGGCGGGACCCGGTCCTGCTCGTCGTCCTCATCAAATTCATACTCATCCTTCACCGGGGTGATGGTTTTGGGGGGCTCCTGGGCCTTGGGCTTGTGCTTCAAACCCTTCTCAAACTCTGAGTCTGTGTTATTGCCATCAACAGAGCTGGAGGGAGCGAAGGAAGGAGCATCCTCCTCTTCTGAGGTCTCTGCAGAGAGAGAACAACAATGCGTTAAGGACTGCGAGGGGCTTCACGGAGGGAACATCATCAGTCTGCTGCAGACGTGAACCCCTGCAAACGGCCCTGCTGCCCCTCTGCCTCACCCAGCCTTTGCTAAGCTTGCGGCTGAAAGCTCGAACCGCCAGGTTGCGAGATCTTTTAGGATGGGATAGCTATCCAGTCTCAAACCTGCACGGGGTGTTCCTCAAAACAACGTCCAGGGTCTATCAAGAGAAGAACTCTTTAACAGGGTTATGACTGCAAACAGCATAGGCCAAGACTCCCCGTAAGACTGGAACTCCAATTAGCACTAATTAACACCAGCAGCGTGTCCCACCTGGCACAGCCACAATGGTGGCACTCGCGGGACAGGCCCTAGCAGGGCGCTCTGCTGAGGGACAGCCCGGGAGCACAACCTGAAACGCCAGCACTGGTACAGCCGCGCGCCGTGCCCCCCTGACCGGGGAGGGATGGGAATACATGACGTGCACGCAAACCTCCTCCTCTCTACGCACAAGCTGGAATATTACCCACATTTCAAAGGTAAGACATCCATTTACCTGCAATTGGCTTCCAATCCTACATCTCGATTGCACCAGGCAAGTGATCTCAACGTAGGCTTCCAGGGCAAACAGCTAGAGCTCCCGGAGCTAAAGGCTGGTAGTTATGTTGTCTGAATTTGGGTTACAGCTACAGATGGACTCCTGACCGTGGCAGCAGCGTGCAGATATTCTGACAAGAGTCTAACTTCACTGTCCTCTTAACGTCTCTGTATTAACAGACAGCTGCAGGCCACAAACATCACTCCCATGTTCACATAAAGGTCAATCTCACCTGTTGAGCTCTCTTCGCTAGAGGGATACGTGGTCTTTCCCAGGAGCAGATTCACCATGGTGGGAGAATTAGCTACTTTTAAAGGTGTCTCGCCCTTCCTGTTGCTTTGATGAGGATTCCCTCCATAATGTAACAACAATTTCACCACCTGAAAACAGAAATTGAGACTTGAAGATGCTCATGATGTTTCGATTCCAGGCTTTTTGTACAACTTTCATATATAACTAAAAGGGGGATGTCCTCAAGCAGTCTGTCCTCAGGACACACCTTATGGTACTAACAGTCATCAATACGAAAGGAGACAAAAACCAGCAACACGAACCAACCTGGGCAGGAAAGAAGGGAGAATAACAAGACACAAAGCCATGTTCCTTCCCCTAATCCAGAAGAAGAACGAACTATCCCTCTGCACAGGGGAACACCAAGTAAAACACTCAACAGCACTGGGGCAGGGAAATTCTTGCCCACTACACGGCTATCAGCAGCAAATGATAATAAAATAACCAGAATCTCTGTATTTGCACAGTTGGCCGCTTGAAGCACAAGGAAAAAAAAGTCATGAAAAACACAGCTATGAAATCCAGCAAAAACCTACCTTGAAGTGCCCGTTATTCGCTGCATCGTGCAGCGGGGTGTCGTCATCCAACCCCTTTGTGTTGACTTCGGCGCCCGCAGCAAGCAACTGCTTTGCAACGTCGTAGTAACCCCGGTTGCATGCCTCGTGCAATGCCGTCCAGCCTGCAAGCAAAGGGACACTCAGAACACGGACATCACCTTCGTGGAGAAAGTCAGAGACAGTGAAAAGTAACCTCCATCCACAGGCGCTGCAGGTGCTGGTGTGTCAAGGCGTCTGCGGCTCTGATGGCCGAGAAGGCGGCCTCGTTTGCCCAGCTCCCCATGGCACAGCAGGAAGAAACCTGCAGCTCTGCCTTGCTACTCCAACCAGGCGGCAGTTGAATGAATCCCTCTTTTCCCTCTGGTCACGCAATGTGCTACAGACAGATCATCTGCCAGAACGGACACAGCCCCGCGAAATGGAAAGGCAAAGCTTTGTGTAAGGAAATTAAGAGAACTGCTGATGCCGTGTGGAAGGCAGGTCTCAAATCCTTTCCCCTTCCAACTCCTCTGTAAGGGAAACACTGCCGCCCAGATCAGGACTGAGCTCTGAACTGCAGACATCGCTCTGAAACATCCCCCACACAGACCTCACAAATATTTTCTCTGTGCTCTCCAAAGCAAGCGGCCGTGCTGCCGCAAGATAGGCCCCCGGCTCGGGGAGAAACCAAACAGCAGGTCTCCACAGTAACAGTGGCTCTAGTTCTCAAACAAACCTCCGAAGAGCACAGAATGAAATATTTTATCACATTCAAACAGACTATTTTTAAGCAGAAACTGTTTTGAAGTTTCCCAGCAAATGTGCGTGGCTCCTTCGGTATTTTGCTGATAGCGTCGTGGGAGCTCATTCCGTTACCTTCGCTTGGAGCATTAAAAAGGGGCACCTGTGACCAGAATTAATCACAACTGATACTTCAGTCTAGCACTGATATTAATCATGCAGGTGGAGGAACACGCATATCTATTTATAACCCCAAAATCGTGTGAAGAGAACAGCAAAGAGCAAAGTCAAGCTCTCGGACGTGCTGGAAGGAAGGCCGCCTCACGCTAACTCAGCCCCATCGTTGGTACGGGTGTGCACGAACGGCACTGTTCATCATCTCACGGCCACCTTCTCGCCGCAGCACTCGTGGCCGTTCCCATGCCAGGCTCGGCCGCAGCCGCAGCCCCGCACCCAGGCTCCTTTCCCCATTCCCACCACCAGAAGCAGGAGCTTTCACAGCACTGCTGAGGAGGAGGAGGAGGTGGTATTACACCCAGGCAACGAGCTGAGGCTCAGGACAGTCACCGTCTCCTCTAATTCGGATGCCCGGCTGGGAGCCTGACCTTGCCCTTCACATGCGCACTGCTCCCCGTCAGCGGCACCCCCGCGTTCGGTACTTAAAAACAAACCCCAGAACGCTGTAGGCATCGGCCATTCAACTCTGGAGCGATGACTTTACAAACCCACTCTTTTTAGTATTTTTGTGCACACCATTTCTTATATTTTAAATTAAAAAAGAACTAGAACAGCCCACCTGCCTTTGCAAATCCCCCTCCAGACTTCCAAGACGGCACCCATGTGGAAGGGCACAAGAAAACGAACCAGAGGGTCCCGGTCACAGTTTCAGAGCGTGGAGCCACGGCAGCCCCAGGGATAGCTACGGATCAAGCCCAGCCCCACATCCCCTCCCCGAGCGGGAGCATGTTCAGAGCAGACAGGACAGCCTGAGAATTTAGCTGCCGAACTCCAACAAGGGAACCGATGTTTTTCAGGGATTTATTATTTTGACAAATCTGTAGCAGTTTCTTTTTTTTTTTTTTTTTTTTTTTTTTTTTTTTTTTTTTTTTTTTTTTTTTTTTTTTTTTTTTTTTTAAAAGGACAGCAAGGCTTTTTCCTCCCCAAAGGGCAAAATCATTATTTTTGGTTGATCCCCTCTTTACAAGCAGCAAACCCGTGTTATAAAGAAACTACTTTCTCTGGTGGGAGCCATTCTCGGAGGTGGAACATGCAAGCAGGTGGGAAAAGGTACGGATCGTGGGCTGCCTCGGCAGTGCTGCCACGGGCTGCTTACCTGCAAAGTCTTTCACATTGACATCCGCACCCTCGATAATGAGCTCCTTGATGCGCCGGGCATCTCCTCGGATGGCAGCTCGATGCAGCCGAGTCTCTCCTCGCTCGTTTCTCTTATTTACTTTATCTTTGGTTTTGGAGGCAGAGTTAGGAGTTCCCTTCTGACAAACTGTAGACTGAGAGGGATGCTTTGGTGTTGTGTCAACTGCATGGAGGAGAGAAACAGTCAAGAACCGCAATTCAAAGGAAGCCCTAAACCCTTAGAGGGAGCTCTTGCAACACGTTTCATCTCGCCTCTCCCCAAAACGCTCACCACAAGGCACCGAGAGGCAACTGAACCTCTGAAGTCGATGTGAAGACAGAGGAAAGCCTGTGTGTGTATAATGCAGATATTAATTGCAGGCTGCCAAAGCCCACTGGAGAGAACTGCAGTCCTTGCAAAGACTGTAGGCAATCCCATGATTCAGGAGCAGACAATGCAGCTCCTTACCCTAAAACCTAATTTCCTAAGGGGAGCGGCCTTTTACCAAGTACATGTGAGGTCTGACAGCCTCGGGAGGAGACTGCACATTTCCTGGGAGAACGTCTGAATGCTCTGAAGACTACACAGCTTTTTGCCCCCCCCCCCAAGTAACAGCAACATAAGCAGCTAGATCGGTGTTAAGAACAACAAAATATGTGGCTAAAAGCTGCAACGTTTGTGTGTAGGATGCAGTTGGGCGCATACAGATAGCACAGTGCCTCTAAAAACCCTGAGGGGTCATGTATGCAACAGATAAAAATTACTAAAATACAAAATCCGTGGTAAACACATTCCAGCTGCTCCGCATCTCAAGTTACAGTCGCAGTGGTTACATGTCTTATCCCTCTCCACAAGAAGAAACATTAAAAAGCCCACAGAGGATGGTATTTTAACTTTATTCACAATGCTCCTTTACTGAGTTAGCCTGAGATACCAGTGGAAAACGCGAAGCTCTGATGTGGAGGAGGCTCCCGTGGAACCGAAGCTCTAGTTAAGCAGCCAGGGCAGGCTCAGTGGTGGCCCGGATTCGGCCCAGGGGATACCTCCTGCTACTGCCTTATACTGGAAGAAGAAGGAAGGGCAGCCGCAGCCGTGTGTGAACCCCAGTGGCAGCCCGTGCCTGGAGTCACCTGCAGAGCCCCGTGGGAGCGGGTATCCCGCTGCCCCCGCTCCAGCATCCCACCTACGGTGCTGAGAGCGGGGAGACCCCATGGAGCAGCATACCAGCCCCCCTGCACCATGCCGGGGGTGGCAGCTCACCTCTGCTGCTGGCGAGGAGCTACCTGAACTGCCTGGTGATGCCGGGGCCGGGCACTGAGAAGCCCAGGTATTCGTGAGCCTCTCGCTGCAAGCTCACACCCGTCTGCTCACACCTCTGAGCAAAACCACCCTCTGGATCTCACCTGGGCTGTTTGCAGACTCTTCTGCTGTCATCTGCATAAGGAGAGCGACTTGCTGGCGCTCGGAGAGCGGGTAGCCTGCCCGGATCCCCGAAAGGCCCATTCCGAAGAGCAAGCCAGGCTTTCTGGTGGCGGGCTCCTTTTTAATCCTCTTCCGCTCTGGACCCTGCTTTTCTGTGGTGCAAGGAGACACAGAAACACAAGCCGTGAATGCCGCTGTAACTGAAAACCACGTTCATTTCTGAGCAAAACGCTAACAGCTCTCCAACTCCGTTTCCGCATCTCACAAATTGAAAAGCCTACGGTGAAGGATGCATCCCTGCAGTGGGAGCACCGGTACCTGGGGCAGCCGCCCGGGCTCACACCGCTGCGGTCGCAGCCAGGACACGCACCGCTCCTGCTGCCCACTGGCTCC